CGACGTCGGCGGAGCGGTGTCGAGCTTCACTTGCTTGCCACACTCGCACTTTTTGGCCACGCGAGACAAAGAGGATCGTTATATTCCACTTGCCCACCAGACTTGCACGTAGACCAGAGGCGTGACATGGTGTGGCGACCAATCCTGGGCCTCCGTCAACCACGGAGCGAAGGATCGGGCTCCCCCTCCGCTTGTAGTTGTCCGTCAAGAGCCACTGGAAGACGCCGAGGTTTGTGCGCACATGCCAAAATGGCAGGGGTTGAGAAGGAAGAAGGATGTAGAGGAGGAGAGGAGGAAGGAGTCGCGGGGCGCTGTCTCTTCAAAACGAGGACCCACTACCACAGGATGGTCGGGAATAGTCAGAGATCTTCGGGCTCCCGTAACGTAAGTCAGAACAAGTGTTTGGCGTATCGAGCTTGATACCTTCGCCCCCACCCGCCCACGATTTGTCTAGATTTGGGCCCCGTCCGGACCTTGAACGTTACTCAGGTTTGTGGTGTGCACAGGCATTGTGGTGTACAGGTTCTGTGGTACACATGCGCATGGCGCTGAAGCAGCAGCTGTGGTGCACACGGGGGATGTGGTCTGTGCAGGCGCTATGGTGCAGGGTGCACACGGCTGCTGCGGTGCATACATGCACTGTGGTGTACATTGCGTTGTGGTGCACACTTATGTTGTTACCGCAGCAGTTTCAAGCATTGTTGTGCACACAGGCCGTGTGGTACACACAGGCGTTGCGGTGTATACTGACACAGTGGTGTACACAGGCATAGCGACCATTGTGGTGTATACAGGCATTGTTGTTCACATCGGCTCACTGGTGCACGCAAGCACTGCGGTGTTCACATGCGCTTTAGTTCACGCAGGCAGTGTGGTGTACGCAGGTATTGCGGTGTACCCCTGAGCTCCCTCCACAGGCATACTGTGACGCGCACAAGCGTTACGCCCGTTGTTCGCGGCTACTCTCAGCAAGCCCCTGCGCTTTGTTTGGCTATCCCTGGCAGATCCCTGCCCAAATGCTAATCCTTCCTGTGCCTACCTAGTCCGAGGCATTCCCAGACCTTGGCATCGCTCGGACGTGTGCATTTTTCTTTCGGCGAGGACCATCGAGGAGCATCCTTCATCATTTGGCGAAAAACCACGCACGAAACCGAAAAAAGCACAGGGAATGGACGTCCGAGCGATTGCCAGAGACGGCGCCAGCGCGAAACGTGACGTTTCTAGAGGGGGCAGGGCCGGGGCACTGGGCGCCTCCGTCTTGCAGTTCGCAAGCTCCTCCCAGACCCACTTCGGCATACCGTTCACGTTTCGTGGCCCCAAAGTGAGCTCCACCGAGTGCCTCCGTGGCGCAGTTCGCACGTGTCCCCCCCGACAAATGTTGGTCACTCCTCGCACGCTTCGTGGCCCCACAGGGAGTTCCACCGAGTGCACATGTGGTGCAGCTCGCATGCGTCCCCGGGGCCTCGGCACACCCCTCACACGTTTCGTTGACCCACTGGAAGCTCCACCGAGTGCCTCAGTGTCGCAGTTCGCATGCGTCTCCCAGACCGAGTTCGGGACCTCCCGGTTCCACTGAGCGTTTTTTGTGGCACAGTTCGTAGGCGTCCCCCCGATCCATGTCGGGACATCCCTCACACGTTTCGTGATCCCACAGGGAGCTCCACCGAGTGCTTCCATGGCGCAGATCGCATGCGTCCGCCCGCCCCATTTTGCCATTTCCCACACACGCTTCGTAACCCCCATAGGGAGCTCCACCAAGTGCCTCTGTGGCGCAGTTTGCATGCGTTCTCCGACCCATTTCGGCACACCCCTCACACGTTCCGTGGCCCCATTGGGAGTTCAACCGAATGCCATCTTATGGTGTCCTCCGAGTGCATACGTGGCGCAATTCGCATGCGCCCCCCGACTCATTTCGGGACACCCCTCACGTTTCGTGGCCCCATGGAGCTCCATCGAGTGCCTTTGTGGCGCAGTTCGCATGCGTTCCCCCCGACTCGTATCGGGACCCATCCGTGGCACAGTTCGTATGAGACCGTCCAATCGACCCACACCTCAAACGGTCCATTGCCCCATAGGGAACTCCGCTGAATGCCTCCATCGCATGCGTCCCCCCGGTTCATTTCGGCACGCCACTCACACGTTTCGTGACCCCACAAGAAGTTCCACCGAAGGCCTCCGTGACGCAGCTCGCATGCGCCCCTGGGACCGCTTTCGGCACACCCCTCAAACATTCCGTTGCCCCATAAGCTACGCCGAGTGTTTCCGTGGCGCAGCTCGCATGCGTCCCCCCGGCCCATTTCGGCACACCCCGTACACGTTTTGTGGCCCCACAAGAAGCTCCACCGAAGGCCCCAGCAGCTGCGTTCGCATGGCACCGCCACCCCATTTCGGCACACCCCTCACACGCTTCGTGGCATCATAGGGAGCTGAACCGAAGGCCCTAGTGGCTGCGCTCGCATGGCACCACCGCGCACCCCTCACACACTTCGTGGCCCCAAAGGGAGATCCACCGAAAGTGGTACCCACAACGCGGTACTCACAATTGCATATGGTTGGGTCTGTCGCGAGGATATGTTTACGAGGCATCGTGGCTTCGGAAGCGAGGATTTATAGTTCTTTCTACGAGGGATCGTGGCCTCGAAAGTTGGGGCGATGCATGGGAGGGGGCGCGGCTAGATGGGGTGGGGGTCCCTTATCAGATCGTCAGAAGCCCTACCAGGCAGCACTTGGTATCCCACCACGCCTCAGTCAGCGTGACAGGGGGAACGGTGGCGGAATTGGGCCTCTAGTCCTACTTAGGCTTCCTGGTGCTCTCGGCGGCCGTGTTGAAGCGTTCTGGTAGAGGGCTTCAAGACGGCCGAAGAGAGTACCATGAGGCAGCGAAAGCGATCTGAAATGGCTCCAGGGTGTCTGATTGCTCCAGGGTGTCTAATTCCCCATCGTTTGCGCTGAAGGGTTCCTCGCGGACATGCTAAACAGATGGCAAACGTTCCAGGCCAGTTTCGGTGTGCGACCAGGTTCCCGAGATTCCCCAATCGGCTCGTGTATTGAAGGGATCTTCGCGGATGCTGGAGGAGTTGGGGAGAGTGCGCAGACGATTTCCGTGCGCGGTCGGTTCCCCAGGTTGCCAGGGGCGGTTTACCAGGATCCCAGGTCCAGGCCACGAGATGGCAGATAGAGTAAGCAGTAAAGGAGAGAGAGCACAGTGTGGAGAGAGTACGGAGCAGAGCGTATAGGAAATGGCCGTTGTGATAGAGGTCAGAGGGTAGAACGGCGAGATTAGGCAGTATAAGGAAAAGAGTAGAGAGTAAAAAGTGGAGGGGAGAGTTCAGCATTATAGTGGTGAGGGTGCAGAGCAAAAGGTAGAAGGAAGCACATAGGCTAGTCTATGTGACCGCTTGGGAGTTGTGGAGTCCCTTTTGCGTGGCTGTTTCGTGGGCCGTATTGGAGCTCTTAGGGGCCTACGGATGTTCTAGCGAAGTTGCGTAAGGAACCAAGGGGCCCCAAGGAGAGCTTTATTTGTGGGGCCGTGTGAGGGCCTACTTGAGGCTGTCCTGAAGCCTCAAATAAGCACCAAAAAGGCCCCAAAGAGGGCTCGAAGACTGTCCAACAACCTGCCACAGCCGAAGTACGGCCGCAGCAGGGCCCCAAGACGGCCCAAAGTATCTCCCAACGGCCCCCGAGATAGGTCCAATACGGCCCAACAATCTGTCCTACACGGGGCCATTGTGTGTGACAGGTTGTCGGGCCGTCTTGCAGCATTCTGGGATCCTTGTTGGGGGCAATCTCGGGGTTATCTCTTCAATCCTCCTTCGACCCTCCTCTCTCTTCAATCCTCCTTCCTCCCTCGACTCGTTCCTCGCCCCACCTTTCCCTTCCAGGCCTCCGATGTAGTGCGGGCGATGTCGTGGCATCTACAGTATGCAAACTATACGGTGCAGGGCAGGTGGTATGCCTTTCGAGGGCCTCGTGAGTTTTGTTTGGGCCGTCTTGGCACAGTTCTTGGGGCCTTTTTGGCTGTGTCAAAACGTCTTGGGGCGATCTCGGAGGCCTCTTGGGCCGTTGCGAACGCCGCTGCGACACAGAAAGCGAACATGCTGAAAACGCACGCGTCCCCAAGGGAATGTGGAGATGTTTGCCTTTCGGGGGCCCCCCTGAAGGTTTTTGGGGGATTTCGGGGGGCCCTTTGGCCCGTCTTGAGGCCGTCCTGTGTTGTCTTAGGGTTGTATTGCGCCTATTCGACCACCTTTCTGCTCGGTTTGGGTCTGCTGGGCAAGGCCGGGCAAAGCGCCGCCGGAGGCGCGGCAGGGCTGGGGGGCCTCTTCCAAGGGCGCCCAGGGGGCCCCCAAGCCCCGGATCCCGGGAGTCTGGTTTTGGACGGGGGGGCCCCGCCCCCTCAGTCTGCAAAAATGTGGGATGATGGAAATGTATGGTTGTATGTACGTATGTACATTTCTATCTATGTGTACGGAGAGAGAGAGAGATGCAAATATTCATCATAACATATAGATGTATACATACATATATATATATACACACCGACAAAGGTATATGCATATGCCTGGTAAACATGCGTGTAATGTATATATACATTGCACATCGATGTCGGTGTGTACATGTCTAGATATGCGCAGCATATGTTTACAGTTATATACATATGTATACATATACATAACAATCCATTCTCAGACATAAGCATGTATATGTGTATATATATATATATGTAGGTGTATAGACGCCGTCTCTTGTGGACCCACTGCCCGATGATGTATCAGTTCCGTCATTTTGCCCCTGAGAGTCACCATGAGTATCGATGAGGCCAGGATTATTGAATTGAAGAGTTTCGGTGCGCTGGTACTCCTTCATCCTTCAGTTCAGTAGTCCTATCCTCCGTGTTCCTCGAAATGATTATCAGGGGGCAGATTGTTGAAGCAGCATGGGCTCCGTCTGTCTCTCTCTCTCTCTCTCTGACCATCGTTCCCCCCGCTTCTTCCGGCGAGGTTTCCGCCGGCCTGCTCGCCATGTACTACATTGTTTCCGTAGCCACCAGGGACAAAGAAAAGCTCGAGAAGCCACGAGAGGACTGCGGATGAGGAGGAGCAGGAGGAGGATGAGGTCGGGGGTAACGATAGGTGGGCATACGCTCAGGGTGGGATGCTTTGGCCCCCAATTGCCCATTCATTGCCGATGAGGGCCTGATACCCGATACCGCACCCTGCCCAGGAGCGTGCGGAGTCGCTACCAGAGACATATCGATGATCTATCAGCAGCATCGCCGATTCCAGGTCGATGTTCCCCCCATAAGCCAGTCCCCCCCAGCGTTCCCCATCGAAGAAGGACACGTTGCTCTGGATGTCTCCCTTGACATTGTTCGGACGTGTGCATGTTTTCCTTGGCGAGGACCATCGAGGAGCAACTTGGATCATCTTGCCAGAAAATAGAGGCACGGAATCGAAAGATGCACGAGGAGTGGGCGCCCGAGTGATGGCGAGGTCCTCGAGACCTTCGAGGGTTCCCAGAGTTTCTTTGCGAGGCACAGCCAGGGCAGCAGCCCGTCAGAAGGACCGTGTACTCCTACCCGTCGGTCGTTGAAAGTAGGTACACTTGGATTCTCAGATCCCAATCTACCTCAAGCGCCTTCCTACTTCAAGAATCGGCATGCTTGTGTTGTGTGCTTGCTATTCCCTGGAAGGGCCTGATTCCAACCTACTTGATCCGCCTTCCTACTTCATGCTTTTACCTATCTCTTACGACCGACGTGTACTCCTCCTGTTCCCGGCATACGATGCACAGCCCATCGATCGAGGAAGCGCAAGCATCCCTCAAGGCGCGTGGATTGGCGACGTGCTCCGTCGGGTAGGTTCATGCGGCGATGGCGCGCCGGCGACGCTGGCGAAGGCGTTCCAGGTGGAACTCCGCGTGATGGAACGACGCGGAGGCACCGAGGGACACGGGAAGGCCACAGGACCCGGCGGAATTCAAGTTTGAACGATCGGGGTTGCGATCGCTTCGAGGTTGAACGAGCGACTCGGCGTCAAACACCTCTGCGCGCACCGACGCTGCGCGAACCTGCAGGACAGGCTCGGCCCGCTCCGTCCCCCCGTCGGGCGGCTTTGGCTGCACAGTCCGGGGCTGCCTCCTCTGGCCCGTGGACCTCGCGCCCGCGCGCCAGGTCCACGGATCCATGCTCCACGTCAGCGTCCGCCCGGGTCGACTGAAGGGGCCCTGGGACACACAAATAAATACACACAGATGACAGGATTCCCCATCGTTCCCCATATTTTCTGGGTTTTTGTCTCCCCCCCCACTTCCAGTATTTTCCCATTTCTTCCTGGGATTCGACGATTAACTGTGTCTGTGTGTTTGTTTCCCTCCTGATCGACGCCTCAGATGCAGAGCGGCAGGGTCTCGGTGGGGAAGGGCACTGTCGGCCGAGGCGGCGTCCAGGTGCGGCAGCTTCGCGTCGTGTCGACCAGCGGCGACCCCGCCGCCGGCGTTCAGCGCTTGTCTGCCGGCGGCGGCCCAGAAGCGGTCGACGTTGAAGGAGCGGACGTTTCGGAAGCAGCCGATCGTTCAAGGTTGAGCGATCCCCGCGGTGTGAGAAACCAACGCCGCGGCGGCCCAGAATCGGTCGACGTTGAACGATCGGACGTTTCGGAAGCGGACGATTGTTCCAGGTTGAACGATCCCCGTGGTGTGAGTGTCGGTGATATTGAAGTTGATGGTGACGACGAGGAGGATGAGGATGAGGATGGTTACGAGGATGAGGAGGAGGACTGTGTGACCGATGATGGTGTGACTGATGGTGGTGATGATTTCGATGTTGATGCTGATGCCGACGCTGGTGGTGATGACGATCATGATCATGATAATAAATATTATGTTGGTGTTCATGCCAACGGTGATGGCGATGATGAACATTACAGTCGGGGCGCTGAAGAAGGAACCCTTTTCATTCGGGAGGGGCTCAGTGTCCCGTAGTTGTTTTACAGTTTGCCTTCGGTTGTCCTCAGGTTTTTGATGGAAATTCGAAATTGAACATATGGAAAAAGGGGCCTCGTTCCTTATTAAGGGTCCTTAGGTCAACGCCCCGATTGTATGGGCATAATGGTGACGACGACGATGCTGATGGTGGTGGTGGTGATGGTGATGATGATGATGATGATGATGATGATGGTGATGATGATGGTGATGGTGATGGTGATGGTGAGGATGATGATGGTGATGCTAATGCTGATGCTGCTGCTGCTGCTGATGATGATGATGATGATGATGATGATGATGATGATGATGATGATGATGATGGTGGTGGTTTTTGTGGTGGTGGTTGCGATGAGGAGGAGGAGGAGGAGGAGGAGGAGGAGGAGGAGAGGGAGGAGAAGGAGAAGGAGGAGGAGGTGAATGAGGAAGAGGGAGGCGGGCGGGTAGGAGGGAGGGTGGAGGGAGGAGGATGGTTGGATGGTTGGACTCTGGTCTTGCGCACCTCGGACCCCGTAATTTGACAAACGCGCGAGTGCAACACAATCGCCGATTTCTGAGCTAATTTCAAAGAGGACATCAACCGCAATTGGACGAAGGAGGTCGAATCTCCATTTGACACCGACATTGTTCTGCGCCCGGTTGGGTATGTGAAGCCGTTGACATACATTACTCTTTTCCCGCGGCATTCCGCGGCATGTATTTCGAGATATTGGTTTCTTTCACCGCCGAGACGGTTGCTTTCGACGATGCCGCCTCTTTCGTTTCACGGTTTATTAGTCGAGGAATCCGAGCAAAGCGGACGCGCGTGTAGCCGTCCAGTTGGTTTCAATGTATAGGTCTGTCGACGTGTTGACCCAGGGCGTCCAAAAGAAGACGGAGGGGAAAGGGAGGGAGAAATAGGGAAGGGAAGCGAAGACAGACGGGCTTGCACTCCGTTGGTGCGCCCAGGAGCACGCCGTCGTGGAGCAGTTGGCCCGCGACGAGGACTCTCTGCAGCCCGCGTTTGCTCCCCTGTCCTTCGCATCCTCCCCATCCACCTCAGCCGCCGCCCCCTCCTCTTACGGCATACGTCCCCATTGAAGGTCCACGCGGGTTTCTTGGGCCAGCTTTGGGCCCCCTTCTCACACACCCTGGGCGGCGTCTTCGGCGCCACCCCTGGCACGCTCCGTGCTTCAAGGGATGCGCGGGGAGTGTGGTCCAGCGCAAACCTCAGAAAGTGTGTGGTTGTATTCTTTGGCTGGTCTTGCCTCCTCCTCCTCCTCGTCGTCCTCCTCCCCCTCTCTCTGGGGCGGGGGGGGAAGGGAGCGCGACGGGGCGGGGGGGGGGCGGACCAACGAACGGGCCAGGATCGACCCAGGCAGTGTCCATGGATTGGTGTTCAGCGATTCGGGGCGCGGATCCACGGACACGAGGGAGGCAGGAGAGGGCTTTTGGGAGCTGGAGGAGGATCAAAGGCTTAGAAGTTGTTCGCCCTCTTGGGACTCTCTGGAGGTCCCTGGAGGCTTTGGGAGCCCACCAAGGTCAGCCGACGGCACCGGGAGAGGGAGAGAGGGAAGGGGAGAAGAAGGAGACAGCAAACGGAGGAGGATGCGGACAGACAGGGAACTATCGGAGGTGCAGGGCCCCATGCTCAAACTTCAGCGTTGCAGGTTCACGCCCTGCTTGCGTCTGCCGGCCAGGACAGGGCTGCTCCCCAGGCCCAAGATGACGAACGCCCAACAACAACCCGACCAGGGCAGGGGAGCTGAAACCTCAGTCAGAGGTAGACAGGTACCCATATCGCTACCCTTCTCTCGTGTTCCCCCTCTTGGGCCTCCAGGGAGGCCCTCGTCGCCTCCCCCGGACTCGCTTCGAAGTTTCGGTCAGAGCGCACCCTGGAGAGGTCCAGGGAGTAGCGGTATCGGTATCGGTACCTCTTGGTTTCCCTAATCAGCGCATGGAGCGGTTTGCCAAGGATCAGGGCAGGCGTCGGCGCGTCTTCGCACGTCGTTGCCTCTTTTCTGCGAACGGTTTGTTCTCTCAGCAAGGCCTTGCCCTTGCCTCAGCAGGGGGAGAGGGCCAAGCAAGATGCATCCAGATTGTTCCATGCCTCCACGTCCTCCTCGCCCAGCAGTGCCCCGTTTCACATTGAGCCAGTTTGAAACATATCCTTATCCCTACGTCTGGCATCACCTTACCTCGATATCGATCTTAAGGATTCCCTCAGTTTTTGAGGGCCTGTCCCTGAGATTGTCACTGCTTTTGGCTTGCCATTCTTGGGGATGGTGACCAGTTCCAGGCTGGTTGGCACTCCGGCTGAATCGAAGAACAACAAAACGACACCGAGGTAATGTCTCGGAGGTCCGCGTGGATTTCTTGAATCGGTGCTGGACCCCTTCCCTTGCGCGCGGAGCACGCCAGTGGCGGCGCCGGAGGCGCCGCCGAGGGCGGCCAGCGCCGACCAGAGAGACCTGCGCGAATCTCAGAACAATTCTAGACGCTTCACGTAACCCCACCAGATTGTGCTTGATTTTCGCTTTACGACTTGTTTGGACGGCGCGCAGCTGCCTGCGTCGCTCGCGAGCTAAAGAAGTAACCCCACCAGACGGACGGCGCGCGGTTGGACCGCGACGCTCGCGAAAGAAACCCCACCAGCGGTCCTCCGCGTTTTCTGAGCCGCAGCGTAGCCCGCTCTTGTGCGTTCGGTGCGTAATTTACGCCGTTGCATTGTTGCTTCGTTATGACGGCGCGCGGCTGTATGATCCAGAAACAATGCCCAGAGGAATTGGGGGCCTCTTGGCGGCCCCCGACGCCTCTCAGAGCGTCTTGGGTGCCTCGGAGAGTTTCTTGGGGCCTCTTGGGGTCTCTTGGGAGCCTATTGGAGGCCTCTTGGGCGCCTGCTGGGGCCTCGTGGGCGCCTCTCGGGGCCCGCTTGAAGCGCTTGTGGAAGCCTTGGGAGCGCTCTTGGAGCCCTGTTGGGCCATTTTGGAGCCATCTTGAAGCCCCTGATGGCCATCGGAAGCGAAATTGCGAAAAAAAACCAACAACATGTATTGTCCTATGGTTCTGGAAGGATTTGGGCCTCTTCGGGGCCTCGTGGGGGAGCTTTCTGGCCACTTGGAGCC